GCCACTCGTAAACAGTTTTCCAAATGAATATCAGTGATACGCGTTCTCACTTGCGATTTAATATGCTTCATGTGACTAAAAAGCTGTTCACACATATAAGTGTTTCCAAATAGCGAAAACATCAACAAAGCATGATTGTAGAATACAGGATATTTAACATTGTTCAAATACTTTGTGTAGAACTCTTCCAAATTAACCTGATGAAATTTCTCCTTTAACTGCATATCACAAGACATTTCACAATGCTCCATTTGGAACCTTCCTGGTAATGAATTCACATCTACAGTGAATGGTGTTGCAAATGCAGAAAAAAGGACACTATGCTTTTTAAAGTCTTGAAATCGGGTTTCAAATTCAATTTTCAAGTCAGATAACAAAGAAGCGTATTTATAAGCCACCTCCTGTGTGACGTCTTGCTGCAGCGACAATGTAAGAAAATGAGTAAAATTTTTTGTCCGTAACTGCTCTTCCCAAAGACCAAGTTTCATCTGGAATGCAGAAATAAGATCATACAAATTATTAATTAATTGATCTTTGCCTTGTAGACAAGTATTCAGGTCATTCAGGTGACTTGTGATGTCAACTAAAAACGCAAAATCGCAAACCCATTCTTTGTCCGCAAACTCTCGGATTCTTTTTGATTTGCTTTCATAAAATGATTGTATTTCTTCCTGCAAATCAAACAGCCTTTTTAACATTTTATAGCACGCGTTAACCATCTTACTTCTGCATAAAACGTAACATCACCATAATCTGAGTCCAAGGACTTGAGGAATTCTTGGAATTGACGATGATTCAATATCCAAAGCCAAAGAGTAAAATACAAAATCGGATGCTCTGCTTCTCAAATCATCTTCAATATAATTTCCAATGTCGTCAACACGCCTAGTAATCGTTTGACGAGACAGGCTTATTTTGGAGAAATCCTTTTTCTTTTCGGGAATCAAAATTTCAGCGACGCTTTCCAAACATTATTTAACTATTTCACCATCCGAATAAGGTTTGGATTTTTTGCTAGTATCATAGCTACTGCATAACTAGCTTTAACATAGCATCTCGACTCTGTACTAGCCTTTGTAAATATTTGCTGTTGTGTAGAAAGTTTTTGTTTTAAGTCATTTACTGTATCTTGTCGAAATTGCCCTTTGTACTTATCAAACTTATTTGCATGTTTAGTCTCGTCATGCCGTTTAATGTTATACTCTTTCAAAACGGAAATAGATTCATTGCATATCAAACATATGGGCTTTGTTTTAAAATCCACAAAAAAGTAGTTTACAGTCCACCTGTCTTGAAAAATTCTCATTTCGTCTGTGATTTTTCTCTTTTTTGGTACAAGGTCTTTACTAGTTGACGCCATCGTGGGTTTCTTTTTTAACTAAAAATATGGAAAATAATATCACTGCTACTAATAGATACTTAATATTACTTAATACTAAAAGAGAATTGTGTATGCCACTAGTTATTAATACATTAGCTCAAATAAGTGTCATATACAGGGTGATTTTTAACCTAAACGCAATAAGCAAGCTGCGTCCTGGGCCAAAATCGCGTGCTTTTTTAAATGGAGGTCCCAAAACCGTATTTTGGTACAATTCAATTTCATACACCGTTTGATAAGACAGACGGAGATACAGGCAGACAGATAGTAGGACAGACAGCGATGTATGCTTATCAGAGAAACAGATAGACAGACCCAATGTCTGTCTGTCTGTTTCTAAACTTTTTTCCGCTTTCGATTTATTTATTAAAAAGAGTTTTGAGACAGACAGACAGTGGGGATAAACATACATCTCTGTCTGTCTTATCAAACGGCGTATGACCTTGAATTGTACCAAAATACGGTTTTGGGACCTCCATTTAAAAAAGCACGCGATTTTGGTCCAGAACGCAGCTTGCTTATCTACTTTTGTTATCTCCGTAAATAAAAATATTTAGTGCACATTCAATTTAATGGAATTTACATTTTTTGTTTTTATTTCAATAGTTTGTTATTTCGGTAAATAAAAATATTCTACTAACTTTTTTTTCATTATTAGTCATTATTTGTCATCAGCAATAATTTCCCAAGTTTATGCGTATAGGTTAAAAATCACCCTGTATATTAGTAACAAAAAATGTTTATATAAAGAAATAAAAGCTGGGCTTACTTACTTGAAGAATATGTCGATAAAATAATTTGAAATCGTATTATAAATAGGTATATATTATTATAACACTGACTGCAAAAGGTCTTCTAATGAATTTGCGATAATAAAAAGGATACGCGACCATGACGTGAACATCACACAGAAGAGTGAGACTGACTTCACTTCACTGGCTAATCTAGTCTTGCGCCTTAGTCGCCCGGTTTTCCAACCGGCGCGCATGTGCGTCTCGCATTACGCAATGAATAACAGCTCTCCCCACTAGAACTGCCTATGATAAAAACGACGATACAATATTTAGGGTTTATTTTTAAATCAGTTTTAACAAGGACATAGGAAAATTTAGAAACTACTATTTCGTTATTTTAATGTGTAATATGAATCGGAACTTTCATGTCATATTCTTTTAGCTATATAATGATATGTACAATAAAATTTAAAAAATATAATTTGCTCCAGGTCTGTGGGCCGCAAGAGGACAAAAGGCGGGCCGCAAGCGGCCCGCGGGCCTCGTGTTGGCCACCCATGATTTAAAGTACAATAGTTGTTTTAACTACATATTAGGCTATACCGTGTAAATTCCAATTTAGTTAGCTTTTATTGAAATTTAAAATTTGTTCTTCATTTCCAAAATGTGAAATATGTCAAAAACCTTACATGTTAGGCATATACTTTTTTAATGAAACTCACCTTTATTTTTTTTCTAGAATCCGAAAATCAATTGATATGTAGGGTGTTATTATATTACAAAAAAAAACAACTTTGATGCGTAACTCTTTTTGAAGATATCCTGTAGAGCTCTATATATTTTTATAAAACGCTTTTAATCTCATCTAGGTTTACTTATAATGAGATTTATGAAAAAAAGTCCTTTGCCTCGGGTCCAGATACTGCCACGTTTTGGAAATCACTCAAAACGAGACAAAACTGAACGAGGCAACAGGAAACGCCAAAAAAAAATTGCCCCATGCCCTCTTCACTAGTAGTTTTCAGGCGCTTTTAGAATCGAAAGTAGGTCGAGGCAAACCGAAGTGGGTCAAGCTGAAAATAAACAGAATTGCGACAAACTTGGGCGACGAAACGCGACCTTGACCTACTTTGAAGAGTTCTCCTCATAGTGCAGAAGCTGTTTTTTATAATTTTATATATTTAATATAAAAAAAAATAGACAGCTCCATGTAAAAACAACGCTGTTTAAAAAACTATGCATTATATTTTGTGTTATTTTTAGTGATTTTTTCTTTATTGATACTATTAACTAAATTTTATTTATTATTTAAATTATTTCACATTTTATAAAACCGTTTTATGTTGATACTGTTTTTTTTAAATGGTGCTGACCACTTTTTAGCTATTTAGCTCAAAAAAAACTTTACATAAGAAATCCGTAGTATATCTTATTTAAAAATATTTTTATTGTTATACTTTTCTATTAATCAAAGGCTAAGTGTGCGCTAAATTGCTACTAACTTATTTAATGTTAGAAATTATTCATATTTCAAAGACAAATATGCAAACTGTAAACTAAAACCTGAACGTAACATAAAGCCAACTTTCATCCCCTTGTTAACTTTATTTAAATTAAGTACACAAAGTTTGCTCATTTCACTCAAATAAAATTACTCAAGTATATATAAATTTGGCTAAAAGTTTGAACAAAGCAAACAATATAATTTACTGTATAAAAATAAAATAATAAACTTATAAAAACAGAGATTATAGTAACTATACTTTCTATATTTATAAATATGGAAAAAATATATTGAGTTGACTGTTCAATAAAAAATTAATTATAAAATCAAATATATATTTGTTTTCTAATACACGATACATTATCAATAATTACAATTCAAATTAACTATTTTGGTAATATTAATTGTTGATTATAAATTCATAGTTGTCAAACAAAATATATAATTAATGTTGCACTCTCTCAATTATATATTAATTAAAAATATTTATTATTATACTTACAGAACTATGTATTTAGTGATAAAATATGTTACTACATCTCACTTAATTGAAAATATACAAAGATCAATCAGGCAGAACCTGGAAACTAAATTTATAAACAGTTTCTACAGTATGTTTCCGGATTGTTTTTTATGAGGAAAAACTTTTTTATTATTAACATTTTGAAACAATAAAGTTTTTTACAAAGTCTTTAATTTTAAAGTTACAAAAATGAAATATACAAAAAATGTAACATGTTAAAAGAAATAATCAAACAAAATTAAAAAAATAACTAAATTTATGTAAAAAACAAAGCTGTGAACATATCTGCTAGAAAAAATAGTACAAGGCCAACAAAAAATTTATTGAGTGTCTTACAACCACATAACCAGTGTTCACTTTTATAAAGTACAGCTCTCGTCTACCAATTCAAAGGTTGTGGGTTCGAATCCCACAGCCGGCATTTCATCAGCCGACTATTTTCATTAAAATAAAAATAGTTTGGATACCTAGGTCGACTCAGCCTTAAATGAGTACTTGGGATTCACAATCCTGAGGTAATAATAGGCGGTTGAAGCGTAATGCTAGCCACATTACCTTCCTTGTATATCGAACGGCTCTAGTATGGCAAGCTGTACCTTGCTACTCCCAAGGTGTTAAACGCTATATACGGGAGCTATTATTATTATTATTACAATATTTTGAACGGATACGACGCATCACCCGTATCAATGGAAGCTTTGCCGCTGTATGAAATATATGAAAATAAAATCTTCAAAATATTGAATTATTAAAAATATATGCATGATTATTGAAGAAAAATTACCTTAATTTTATTTTAATTTATTTTAGGTGCAAAGAACTGAACATTTTTTATGTACTCTTTTTTTTTGCTTTAAGGTTCCTGGCTACACTTCAGAATGGACAACGGCCACAGAAGACCAATTAGAACAAAAAACTGCCCAGCTGGAACTCACGGGAGTCGGAGGTAGTTGGGGAGCCCTAAGGATACGTTGCGAGGCCAGCCTTTTTAGGTTATACAGGGCCAACAGCGTGGCTATCGAGGTTAAGCCGGATACTCCTCAACCGGCATCTGTATTGCTCATGGGACCAAGTTCAAATGGTAAGTTACTTATAACAATGTTCCGCTCATTTATGATATAATAATAGATGTATACCGGTACCAGGTCAATAGCAAATTTCAAAGTACAATAATTGAATTTATAATATTACACTAAAAATGGAAGATTAAGCTAAAGAGACAGTAAACTATACTATATCGATTTATAAAAGTATACACGGTGTTTCAGAAAACATGTGATATCTCTCGAGGGGAGATTCTTCACGTAAAAATAAGATTTAATTTTTATATCAACATAGGTTCTATTCTGCTTTATTTCGTAGCTACAGGGTGTAAAAGACTTAATTTTGTTTTGATCTCGGTTTTGATTAATTATATTGTTTTCTAAGTGCTTTTAGGGATTCGAATAACATTTTAGGGTAAACGTTACTATAAGTGCGATATACAGGGTGGTCCGAACTGTATTCCGGAAACTTCGGCAGCATATTCTGCAGATAAAAATAAGTAAAAAAGTTCGTATAAATGTATGTCCTAAAACGCTTAGTTTCGGAGATACAGTGTGTAGAAGTTTCATTTTTATTTTGATTTTTTCCAAATAATTTATGAAGTAACGTAAATATTTGGATGAAAATTGGTGTCTGGGGTTTTTTGACATCAAAAATTTGATTTTGATGTCAGTATGACTGCTACATGTAGAGGGCGCCATCATACATATTTTTTAACTGGTTTGAAGAGTTATACCTTTTAATCCGTACCTGTATAAAGCTACTGAGTAAAAAAATATACATTTACGACATTTTTTACGTAAAAACAAAATTTGGGAAAAATCGCTACTAGTAATGGTTCTCGAGATATTTGGAATCGAAATTATCAATACCTGTTATCATTGACAAAAATTAAACATGGTTGACTAAATAGTTATTAGACTGAAATCATAAATTTGAAATGTTTTTGTGCCAAAAGTTCGACAGAAACTGTTTTATCATCATTTCTTCACTGAAAAATTTCTTATTAATTTAAAAAAAGAAAAATTTTTGATTTAATTTAACGAACGGTTTTCTATGTGGTGAATCGCATCTCACGATTCATTTTTAATACTCGAACAAATAAACGACTCGTTCAATTTTTGCGCACCTCTAGTATATGGCATCAATAGACTTGAACAAAAGCCCAATCAAACATCATGGATATAAATTGAAAGCGATCTGAAAGTTATTTACAAAAAAGTATTTTAAAAGTATTTATACTGTGATACGTAAAATGTGTTTGTAATTTGTTCAAATGGACGAATCGTAAGAGTCGATTTATTATGAGAAATTGAATTGTGTGATTCGATTCACTAAAAAGTATCGTAATACCCATCACTAATCACTAATATACCCATCACTAATAATCCCTAAATAATCAAATTAAAAAAAATAGTCTTTGGTAATTATCTTCAATACCATTCATTTTTTATAAATAGTTTTTAATAATAAATTAGATTAAATAAATAATTTACTAACTTTGTTTCAATTTTATTAATTATGATTAATAAAATTGCGTTTATCTCATCAAGGAGATCGAAATCGACAAAATATCAAGAGATAACTTTTAAACCGCAATAAACGGTCTACACAACTTTTCTCCAGGAGAAAAAAAGTTAGTGGCGCACATGTTTTTTTTTTAAATATTCCAGTTAGTACCCATATGCACGTCCTTCATAAATCTGTCGATACTTTTTTAGCAATGAAATATATAGCACTTACAGTAACTTTTACTCTCAAAATTCACTTCGAACACACGCGAAATAACATACAAAAAACTAATAATTCATAAAAAAAATAAGACTAACTCCATGTAGGTATAAAACAAAGCAGAATCGGACCTACGTTCATAAAAAAAATAAATCTTATTCTTCTCCACACGAGAAATGGCACATGTTCTTTGGAACACCCCGTACTTGTAAATATAATACAGTATTATTTGCTTTAGTTCGTAAACCAGTAAACTAAAATATCTAGAAGCGTTTCAAAAGTCTATGGTTTGAATTGTATTGTTCTTCTAAAATTTAACTCTATAGCACGCTATAATATATTTGAGGGAAAATCGGCCTAACTGTTGATGCGTAATTATAGCTATTGTTACCTTATCAAACAGCGAACGTTAATGGAACATTGTTTCTGCAATAGCTTAATTCAATTGAAACATATGTAATGCGTATGGAACGATTCACTGGGACACCAGTATCAGTCGGTACAGAATATGTAAGCGGAATTGCTATGTCCCAATGTAGTACAGGTAGAATTAATGGAATAAATATATACAATAATAATAATAACTTTAATTCTGGTAACAGGCATTAACCCATACATTATAAAAAGACAGTTTAGACATGTGCAAATATAGTAATAAAATATAAAATGTACAGCAAAAAATATATACGAAACAAACGCTTTTTACCAGGAGACCTTTTTTGGGTAGAAAATAACGAAAATATATATTTTTTCACTCATAGTTTTCTTCTTCTTAGGTCGCTGTCTCCCTTCGGAGGTTGGCGATCCAACTGGCTATGATGGTGCTTCAAACCTCTGAAAATTTCAATCGATGTTCTTCCGAACCAACGACGCAGATCCTTAAACCAGGAGTTTTGCCTTCTTCCTACTGATCTTAATCTCCTGCCCTCAATTTTGCCTTCAATGGCCAGTCTGAGCACCTCGTATCGTTCACCCCTTATGATGTGACCGACGTACTGTAACTTCCTTGTCTTCTCTGTTGATAGTAGCTCTTTATCTTTGCCCATCCGCCTGAGCACCTCCTCATTTAGCACTCTATCTATTCAGGATATACGCAACATATGACAATACAATCTCAAAAGCGTTAATGCGGTTTTCTAATGTGTGATTGAGTGTCCAACTCACAGAGCCGTAGGGAAATACGGGAAAGATGTATGCGCAGTTTGAGGCTTAGATCTCGGCTGGAGAAGAGGGTTTTCATGGAAGCAAAAAACGTCTGGCCGATACTCGTTGTCAACGATACTTGTTCTACCACCTTGTTGTTAATTCTGAGGACAGAAATACAACAAGTTTAGTTTTGTTAACATTTTATGTGTAATCCATACTGTATGCTATGTTCAACAATGCAGTCCATTATGTTCTGATGGTGTAGAATGTGCCAGCTGCTATAATGACCGTATCATCAGCAAAGCGAATATGGAGGGTACCATTGATTTTGATACCATTCTCAACGCTTTCTAGTGCCTTACGGAATATCGCCCGGGGTAAATGTTGAAAGGATTGTGGATAATACGCGCCCCTGACTGACACCCTTCCTAATTGCTACTTCATCAGATGTTCCGCCATCCACTCTGATCTCTGTAGTATGATTCTAGTATAACTGGGTGATAATGCGCGGGCCCCCTTATCTACACACAGTCAAAAGCCTTTCTATAATCTATAAAGCAGGCTTATGCAGGGTGGTCCGAACTGTATTTCGGAAACTTTGGCAGCATATTCTGCAGATAAAAATAAGTAAAAAAGTTCGTATAAATGTATGTCCTAAAATGCTTAGTATGCTTAGTTTCGGAGATACAGGGTGTAGAAGTTTCATTTTTATTTTGATTTTTTCCAAATAATTTCTGAAGGAACGTCAATATTTGGATGAAAATTGGTGTCTGGAAGTTTTTTGACATGAGAAGTTTGATTTTAATCCCGATATGACTCCTACTAGTAGAGGACGCCACCTACATATTTTTTAACTGGTCTGAAGACTAATAAATTTTCCTCCAAACATGTTGACTAAATAGTTATCAAACTGAAATCATAAATTTGGAATGTTTTTGTGTCAAAAGTTCAACAGAAACTGTTTTATCATCATTTTTTCGTAGAAAAATTTATTATTAATTAAAAAAAATAAAAATTTCAGTCAAATAATTATCTACTCAACGTGTTTATTTTTTGTCAATAATGACATACATGTATTGACCATTTCAGTATTAGTCACTCAGTAGTTTTATACAGGTACGGATGAAAACTTATAACACTTCAAACCAGTTAAAACACAGGTAGGTGGCGCCCCCTACAAATAGAAGTCATATTGACATCAAAATCAAAATTCTCATATCAAAAAACTCCCAGACACCAATTTTCATCCAAATATTGACATTACTTCAGAAATTATTTAGAAAAAATCGAAATAAAAATGAAACTTCTACACCCTGTATCTCCGAAATAAAGCATTTTAGGACATACCGAAGGAATACTGCCGAAGGAATACAGTTCGGACCACCCTGTATATCGACGTTTATGTCCCTTTATACTTCAATACAATTAAAAACATGTAGGTGGCGCCCCCTCCAAGTCGACAACATGTCAAATTTCTCATGTTAACGAACACCCATACACCAATTTTTATCCAAATATTTTAGTTCAAAAATTATTTGGACAAAACCGAAATAAAATTTAAATTTCTATACCCCGTATCTCCGAAACGAAGCATTTTAGGATATGAATTTATACGAACTTGTTTACTTATTTTCGAGTTTCCCGAATACAATTTGGACCAACCCGTATACAACATATAGCTTATAATAGAACTTTGATATTATGAAAAAATATGAAAATAACATCCGCCGAAGCAAATTTAAGTGCTATGAAAAAAATACGTGATCCACACGGTAAAACTGCAAATTTTCCCCTAAAACCAGAGAAAACGAGACCACCAGGTCAAACCACTTTATTTAAACGACTAGGGTTTATTATCCCTCACCTTTATCTCATCATACTGCCGCTGACCCTTCTTCTGCTAGCTCATTCTCGTAAAAGAAGAAAACCTAAAACTTTTATAACTCAATCAAGTCGACAATTGCACGCTCCCAACTAATGGCCTTTGGTTTTTGAATTTGAGTAAATCTTCGCAGGAGAGCAGTGGTGGCTCGCTTAGTATAGGCTTGGTGCATTACAGCTGATTTTAAAAATTCCGACCGCATCGCGCGATAGGGCAGAGAATAGAAGTTTTCACTTTGCATTTCACGCATAATCTCTAGTAATAGATAATCATATAGT